CCCTTCCTTTCAGAACAGCTAAGGAAGTGCAAACCAAGTCTTCCATGGCACATGGATTACGTGCCAGTGTACAGTTCAATAACCATCCAGATAACTCAGGGAGAAGTCAGTGCATGGTCCTCTGGGCTGGCTGTGAGGAATGATGGCTATGGGCTAGGTAAGAGCTGTTGCGGAGAAATCCTGCACCTGACACACACTGGTTTGTAGCAGTATGATGTGATGATCTATCAAAACAAAAAAAAAAACACGCATTTTTCATCTGGACTTGCTCTTTTACCTGGCTTTCTGAAGCTCGGAATTGTAGGATATAAGCAGATGTCCAGCAACTCAACCAAGATCTAATCTTCAGCCAATGGAGACCACCTGGTTGAAGATAAAGAAGCCAAGGAAAGGGAAAGATGAAGCTCCCATTTCCACATGAGACTGGGAGCAGGCCTAGCTTTGCTTCTGATGATTCCAGAGTTGGGGACCGTCTCCTCCGAGAAGAGTTTTCAAGCCATAGCTCTAGCTGGAATATTAGGTTTGGCAGGATACAGGCTGAGGACAGCCCTGCTCAGACTGTGCTGCTCCAGAAATCTCAGCAGCTCTCAAACCACCTGGAGTTGGGTTTCAGGGGCTCAGCATTTCAGAGCTGCTCTTTCAACATGTCAGCCACCAAATTCAGCTCTTTATAAGCATATACTTCCATATGTCCTAAATGCATACAGGTGAAAACCCAACACTGAAGGAAGAGTATTCAAGTTGATTTTTCCACCAGTTGAGAAACAGACTTTAGTTATATCTGCGCAATTTTCCTAAAGCAGAAGCTCTGTGCAGCTCCTGACAGCGGTGGGACTCACACAGGTCATTCATTAGCTGGCTCTGGCAGCAGCTTCTTTCAAATCCTCCATGCTCATGGCATGTTTCAATTACCAGGACCTATAAAAAGAGGCTTTTCGATCTGGACTATAAAAAGCTGCAACCTAAAAGCGTGTCCCAGAGGGTTAGCTCACCCATGTCACTGTGAGCAGGAGAACAAAAGATGCCTCCTATGGAGCAGAACCAGGGCTGCTCAGTGGCACTCCCCCCACAGATCAGTACGGTGCTTTTCAAACGCTGCTATGGGGTAAAAAAAGAAAAGAAAAAAATCTTCCTATAATCACTTCAAAGTGCATTGATCTGGAATCAAAATGCAGAGGAGAGATTATTCTCACATGCCCCAGCTCCTGCAGAGATCCATGCAAACCTGCGTGGCACCCCAGGGTTAGAGAACACCTGGGAAACAGGCTGAATCCCAGGGGCCTTGCTAAACATCACTGACAATTCTCCCTGATACCAGTTACAGCGAAGGAATTGGGGAAGATGACACATTAAAAAAGGGCAACAGAAAAAATAATAATTTCTTTCCCCTCTCATTACATGCTCCTGGAGGTGGCATACTGCAGAGAGCAACTAAATTAAGCAAACTCATTGCAATGTTTTATATGTATCGATTATTTGACAGTCTCCCATTAAATCAGTAGCTTTACATAAAGGATGTAGCTGAAATGCACAGAGCTTGAGTTTTGATATCACCTACACTGGCGTAAATCAAAACCAAGCCTATGGATAAGAAAAGAATTAGAGTGGATACAGTAAGTACAAAAAAAACCAAAAATACCCAAAGAAGCTTATAGATTTAATGCTTTCCACTGATGAGGTGTGGGAGGGTAGGGCTGGGGAAAGAGATTGCTTGTTTTCTTAATCCAAAGAGTTTCTAGGCATACAGAAAAACATTAAGTAGAGAAAGCTAAATCTAGATCCCATTGCAATCTGAGGAAGTTTGCCTATCAATTTCTGTGGCTTGAAGCACTTGCTTCTGAAAGCAAAGTTCAAATGAATATTGCCCAGGTGGCACTGCACAACCCCACTTTGCTAATTGTCATGCTGGAGCAGCCAACGAATTGGTAAAACTGGTTCGGAGGGCAGTCAGGGAAGGGATGGAAGCAGCACACGGTTGCCTTGGAGTTATCCAGGGTTATCTACACATCACGCTGTACGCTCCCTGCTTCTCATAATTAGAGTGTCTAGACAGGAGATGATGCTGGTGAAGCAGCAAGTAAAAGGGTTTTGCAGAGTTTTTCAGATGAGCCCAGCTAAAGCAGTGATTATAACAGAATGACAGACACAAGACTTGCAGAGCCCAGCTGAGATTAGAGCCAATTTCAACCTGAGTAAAGGTCCTTCCATAGCTCATCACATCCTAAAAAAATCTGCTGAATCAGAGCCCTAATGGCTCAAGCACTCAGGAGGGCTTGGAGCTTTTGAACCAGCCTCAGACTGGAGGTTTCTGCAAAAGTAATTGCAGCTGTCTCTCTGCTTCATCCAGATGCTGGCATTTAGCAGCCTCAACTTGTGTAAACCAGCTTCACTCCACTGAAGTCAACAACAATTGACACCAGCTGAGAATCTGGCTCTCAATGTGGATAAATATAGTCTAAAGAAAGAGAACTTACAGAAGGATTGCCCAATTCCTCATGTCCATTTCCCCCCTGGGGTAGGGCTGAATAAGATGATTTTCTTCTTTTTAATTTAGCTACGGTTATTTTTAACAACAGCCTTATGAGCTCACATTTATTACAGCACCTTCCATCCTGCAGGAGCTGGGCTGCCTTTCAGGCTTCATCAGGAATCATGGAGAGAGAAAGATGGGATGCTCTGCATGGCACCGGAAAGGAGCCACCTCCGGACACAATGCTCAGCGCACACAGAAGCCTGTCCACAAGCACAACAAATCACAGAGAGTACTGAAACAATTCATCTTCAGCATTGCAAGAGGAAGCCCCAGCCCAAGGAAACAATCCAAGCAGCAGTTTCAAATCTTTTCCTGAGCTGGCCAGGAGATGAACGTGATGTTTTCACAGCCACGCAGGGTGCTGCGATTACACTCTGTGATTCCATATGCACAACATGAAGACAGATTACCTTCTATACAGCTGGGAAGGGCAAATATTAGTGACCTCAGGAAAAGGAACAGTAACCTGGTCACTCCTATCATGACAAACAAGCTCTCCATTGGTCTTTCCTCATCTAACTCAAACATTCCTGCGGAAGTTAATGGATATGGCTCATTCATCTGCCCATTTTCACAAACAGCTTTACCAAGTTGTAAAACTGTATCCATATCGATTGCATAACCAAGCTGGGGTGTCACTAGCGCCAGTGGCAGGCAGACTGGGAGGGCAGAGGGAGCTTTAGAGGAGCTTCAGAAACACCTGAAAGGCCTGACATCCCTGTTTGTGAATAGGTGCCAATTCTTTTTCAATACAAGGGAGAAACTGGCAGATTAGAACAAGAAAATAGATGACCTCATGGTGTTAAATCTGTGTGGTTATGTGATAGAGTGACACCAACTTTTGTCCACAGTGGTACAGTCCATTTTATGGGGGCTCAGGAAACCAGGACCCACTCGTATGTTGCCACATGGGAAATGCTGGGAAACAGCATCTTCCAGAGCTCCTCTCAAGCTACCACAGAGCAATGGAAATGCAGCAAATAAAAGCTGCTGCCACCACCACCCAAAGCTCCATCAAAGACATGAACTTTGGCCTTCTTCTTTCTTTCTTTTTTAAATAATAAACAAATAAACAACCCAAACAAAAAAAACCAGCTCCATTAATGAAATATAAAGCATAAGGCAAGGGGTGATGAAAACAAATAAAACTAAGGCTGTGAAATGCCTGGTATGTAAGATGTGTTGAAACTTGCTGCTGACAGCAGCTTGAGCAGACATTCATATGCAGCCATTCATAAGATGCACAGTAATTACCTTCTCCGGGAGGCTGTATTATGATGATTTCTTTATACAGAACACAATATCTCTAGCAACAGGATATAATTACAGCAAAGGATATGCCTCTTAACCTCACTCCACCCCCCACAGTTGGCTCAGAGAGAGAGCTGGGAGCCAGGGGTTCTGTGGGGACGGTGGAAGAAGTTTACCCTGTGGTACCACACTCATTACCTGGAGCCGAGCACGCTTCTGGTGGAAGACTGTGGTGGCATTGCTCTCACAGGAGCCCAACCTCTCTCTGAGCTCAAGGTAGAAGCACTCCCAACACAGCAGGACTTGGAGAGAGCTGGCAGCAGCCACTGGGCCACCAGAGGAGTTCGGCACAGCCAGCCTGCTCTGGGCTGACACCTCGCTGGTAAATAAATAAATACAAAAAATAAACAGGCAAAGGAATGACTCAGAACGGGAACACTCTGGCAGCGCTGTGCAGTGGCAGGACTTCTTACCTCCAGCCTGCAGACCAAGACCTGGCTGGCCCCAAATACCCCTCTGCAAAGACTTGACACAATCCTAGAGAAAGCACAAGGCTCACAGATAAGGACAGGCACCATGCCCAGCGTGGGCTGCAGTGTCTCTGGGGGATAGGTGCCACCTCCTGGTGGTTCCCTGGCCCACCTGCAGAAGAAATGCCCAAATGATTCTTCCAGCTCAGCTTCCTAAGACTGGCCACGCTGTTTTAGATCATACAGTTTTCCTCACTGTAGCAGTTCACTATCCTCCAGATGTTGCTGCACTCTCCTAAGTGTTGGAATTTATGAGATATACAGTACAAACAAGTAGCACTGACCCCACCTAACCAAACCTCTAGCCCTGCTTCTTGGCCGTCAGTGACCACGTTGCTACTCCATTCCCACCACCTGTTGGAGAGAGGCACAGGAAATCCTGTTGTACAAATCCTGTTGTTGGATTAACGCATGCAGTGTTCAAATGACCATGGCAGGGATTTCCACAGTGCTCTGCCCTAGAGGTATCTCAAAATTAGAATCATAGAATCACTAAGAGTGGAAGAGACCACTAAGACCATCTAGGCCAACCATCAACCCAGTCAAATTGGAGGAAGCTGCAGTCAATGACAGAGGCCAAAGAGCTGTACACTCAGCCAAGGGAGTTCCCCTCTTACTGCCACAGTTCCATCCTGGTACTCACTTCTCCAGATACATTCCTGGGATAATGAAGCAGCTAACACAGTCAATGGTGGTCAGCATCAGTAGAATTGCTGTGCTCAGAAGCAGCTCAGCATGGTGTAGCCCCATTTGCAGACCAGTAGGTAGGAGGCCATGATCAGTACAACTTGCTCCTTCTTGTCATTTAGTCAGTCCTAAAAAGAAAAGAAGAATGTTAACTCCCAGCCCCATACCTTCCTGTCTCTCACCAAAAATGCAGCATAGCATCTGACACAAGACACCGGTGGTTCTATCCCCTACTCTGTTTACCTGAAAATCAAAACAGGAACTCAGCCTTCATTTGCCAAAAGTATCTGCAGTAGAAGCACTGAGTGGTTTGGACTGTTCATGCCAGATGTTGAAAGTGAAGAGTCAAGGAGGTTTTCAGAACCCTTTGTCAAGATCTAGATGGGTCCACTTCCTATACAAAGATAAAAAACATTTTATTTTAGATGAGAAATTAGAAAGCTTTTCTTTAATATAAATCAACAAAAATTAGCTAATAAACAATATTTTCCTTTTTAGCCTGGAAACCATGTCACAAGCGAGAGTCAGCTCAGGCTTGGAAGCTGCGATATCAGTAGGGGAACTTCCCTTTCCATTTCCAAAAAATGAATTTTGCATCCACCGGATGGCAGTGTAGGGAGAGCAATCACAGCAGTCACAGCATTATTTTCCTCTTTAGCCTCTAAGAAGTGATTGCAGACAGAGCATTTTATTGCTTATTAAGATCTCTCTACATTACAACTAGGGAAAGAAATCTAGGTCTCGTTAATAAACTATCTTCTTAGAATCTCTATTAAAAGACAGACTCTGGTTAGCCAGCACCATCCCATATGTGATTTGGTTTGTCTCACAACATCAAGATTCACGGGAAGGTAGCGTGCTTTAAATCATCCACTCCTTACAATAAAAACAATCCTCCCCCTTAGACTGAAATGCAAACAGTAAAAAGGCAACACTTCCAGTACAACACAGAGCCAGCCATGCATCAGGCTGGTCAGTGCTGACTGCACACACAAAGTTCAGTGCAGAGTTCAGACTCTGCAGGACTCCAAGTTATTTTAAGAAACGACAACATTTTCTTCAGCTTCTGTTGTCAAACATTTTGATGAGCAAGAAATGAAAATCTATTCTATTCTGAGACACGGCAGTCATTATTTATCTACAGTTGAGAGCAAGTTTTCTTTCCTGTATAGCATAAAGCTCAAATTAATAAAGCTGAATGCTAAACTCTGGGTAAGTAATATTACTGAAATCCATCGTGTCAACAAGCCGATTGCCCGAGGGTAACAAGCAGTAGAACATCTGCAGAAAACAACACTTTAGGAAGCCAAGCCAACGTCGGTCCTATTGCCACTAGAGGGCAATAGCAAACAAGCGACCAAAAACTCGAGTTGAGGAGAGAGAGGGGTTCTAAAGGCGTAGTAAACGCAGTCCAGTTGTGTTCAGTGGGGCAGCAGCCCTGGCTGCTGGGAGCTCCGGTCCCAGAGAGCTCTGCAGCTCTCCCAGGAGCTGCCCGGATCCCCTCCTGCACAGCCCCATTCCCTGTTGAAGCAGGCAGGTAGCTCCCACCATTGGCTTTGGGTTTTGGTCCATCTGGGTTAGTCAGTGGAAAATATTCACTGCTGGTTTTGGACTGGAGAACAGCCACAAGTAAAAGAAGTACTTTTAATGGCATGTGTTGAAGCACCATCAAATAGAAGGTGGTCAGATGCTGTTCTGAACAGATGACTGATCCAACATAACACATCATTAGATTCCAGATGATGCAAGAACAAGAAATGAGGAGACACTTCAGCAGCCTGATCCACTTATTTTACTGAAGGAAAGATTCGGAGGGGATTTGATCTAGATCTATTAACAAGTCTCAGTGGGGGACTGAGAGATGCTAAAAGTCTCCAAAAACCTAACAAACAAAAATATAACTAGATCCAGAAGCTCAAAGCAAGAGCTGGATACAATCAAATTGGAAGTAATGTGAGCATTTAAAAATTAAAACTTGCACTAATGCCAGTAGTTAATCACTTGAACAAATGATGTAGGAGAGAGTTTTATTTTCCACCCCTACAGCACTTAAAACAAAATTTGCTGTCTTTCTAAAATATGTGCTGCAGCTTAGCAATGAATTATTAGCCTTGATGCAGACATTATGGGTTCAGGTCTCGTCTGAACGAAGCAGAGGGTGAGACTAGATTAGCAAAATGGTCTTTTCTTTTAATTACAGTCTACAAATATCAAGGTCCTCCTTGCAGGTAATTGTCTTTCAGTGATGAAGGCTGACTTCCAACTTTGCAAACTCCTTTCACAAGCTATGTCAGTGCAGAAGTGACTGCAGCTCTAAGGACTTCACCACACAAGGAACAGCGATGGCCTCTACCTATTGGTACAGCTCTTGCTGCCCAGTCATTACCCATCTGTTGAAAGAAAGACCATGAGCCTACAGAAACCACTCTCCAAGCCAAACTGTCCATGGCCAACAGCTGGATCGTGCTGTGCTCCAGCTGAGGTACCAGTTCTTGGGCTATGGCACAAGATAGGAAGAGGCTGGGGCAGGAACTGGTAGGTTAGTGTGATGAAAAAGAGGTCTGTGTCAATTACAAAGTCTTGATCTTCCAAAGACATCAGTCACAAGTGAAGTCACATAACAAAGAAAATAATGTCTGTAGTGTCTACCCTCTTCGCCCCCAGACCTGGGCCAGAGGGAGATCTTTCTTGAAGGAAAATGAATTTATAGTGGCTACAGCTCCTTGGGAGTTGCATAGACAGAGACAGACCTGTGACTCAAACATCCAAAAGCATCACACCACAGAAACACCCCCAGCCTCAGCCCAACCCTTGTGTGCTGTAGGACAGACAACACCAACATAAACAAAAGCTCAGCCTTTCCCACCAGAGGCACAAAGCAGCGCTGTTTCAGCTGTAAACCGTTTCCAACCTAACCAAATGTCAGTGCTTTACGAGACCGGAGAGTTATAAAACAGTCAGCATGTGATGACAGCACGCTGGCCTTTGCAGTAACTCAGAGGCACTTCACTGCGGGAGCAGCATAGGGGTGGTGCAGAAAGAAGGCAGGTAAAGAGCATGCAGAACACGCAGCACTTGGGGCTCGCCCTTCCTCTGCTGCCGAAGGGTTTGCAGATGTTTCCAAGTGTTTTATCAAGGCTGAAAGGTGCTGTCAGTGACAGAGAGCTCCGTGGAGCTCACTGCAAAGCAGCGCAGACACAGCATGCTGCACCGTGCTGCACCGTGCTGGGGGTGATGGCCACGTGTACAGAAGTGGGAGTGCTGGCCCAGGTGACATCTGTCAGGTCTCCCAAAGCTGCCTGCCTGCTGCAATGAGGAGAGCTCAGCACACTGGGCGAATGGCTCAGTTTTCTGATTCAGGGAAACAAACATGGGGGAAAAAAAAAAAAACAAAAAAAAAAAACAAAAAAACAAAAAACAAAGCCACAAATTAAAGCAAGGTTTGCTGTGAGAAGGAAGGTGTCACAATGTGTTTTGACGCCGTATTCTTCTGCAGGCCCTAGTATAACGTTCTCCAAGCATTCCCCCCCATGACTCATCTGCAATAAGTCTGCTCTCCTTCCTCCCTCTAACTCCGGCCCCATGGAAGGCCCTGCTGAGTGTCACTCCTGCATTTCTGCAGCTTGAACTCGCACGTTTGCTTACATACGTGACCTCCCCATTATCTTCACCCCACCCTCATAAGAAACCACATTAGAGGGGGACTCCTGTTTAGCAGTTAAAACTCATCTCCTGCCATCAGCCTGCAACGCTTTTCTTCTTCTTTGCAGTTCTGCAAATCAGCACATCTACAAATCAACAAGCTGCATTGCTTCTCTAGGCAGGTCATCTCCAAAGCAGAAGGGCTTCAATAGCAGTGGCTTTCCACCTTTCCCAGGACGAACAGCAGTGCATCTTTACGTATGCTCACACAAAGCAGTCATCACAATCCTAAAAGTAGCTGCTGGAGCTGAGACCATGCTCCTGCACTTCTCAATTCACAGAATGGGAGAGAGGAGGTTATGGGTCAGCAAGTCTGATACAGGCAGCTGTCAGACTAACACAGCCCTGCTGCATGTTGGAAAGGGAAAGCATCTAGGTGGGAGTGCACAGGCAAATTAGGGGTCAAAGGGTTAAGAGAAGAGAGGCCATTATTCATCACTACCACTGTGTTCCAGGCATAAGAAACATTTGGAGCTAATTAGAGGGAGAGCAGAACAATGCACTAGAGAAAGCAACAATGCCCTGGTTCAACCCAGCAGATGAGCTCTGGGCTCAGAGCAAATTGGTCTAAAATGAGTATTGCTCCATCTCTAAACCAGGAAGGTGTGACCTACTTCTCTGACCCTGGCATCAGCTGGCAGGAAGAGAATTGACAGAATGATTCTTCATGCCTGTTGTGTTGAGATTGAGAATATTCCATTCCATTTCAGAAATAAAAGCCAGCAGCTTTTCCAGCTGATTTAGGGTAACTGATAACACAGATCTAAATACATTAACTAAGCTGACTTATATTGCAAAGACCTCCAACAACCAGACAGACTTTAATCAGCCACAACATCATCTATGTGACATAGGAACCTTACTAATAGCCTTAATATTTTCAAATGTAAACTACAGTCAACTTTTAAATCATTTCCTGGGCTTTTTGGTGAGCCTTTTGCTCCTGAACAGTAACAACTGAAATTATGGCACCTGAATGCTATGCTGCATGCCAGATGCGGGAAGCACTTGGGGCCCTCTCAGACAAACACTCCCAGGGATTTGTAAATAATTAGCTGTAGTTCTGGAAGTTATTTTCCAAAGCCTCTTAGAATTTGTGGTGTCAAATTAGTCTTGATTTTATTGTGAGTTGTTTGGGTGTCATCTTTTGGTGAAGCCGCTCTCAGACACTCATTCCGTTGATCATAGGATTCATGCTCTGAAGAAGAAATGATTACTTCAAGTTTTGATGTCTGGAAAAGAAGGGAAAATGCTGTGGGCTGCAAGCAGGTATTTTTTGGTAGCCTGATTCACAAGTATTTGTCGTCATAGAAATCTTGAATGCTATCGTGTCCCAGTGAAGGCTGCATAAGCACTCTTTCTGTTTGGTTGCCACTAAGTAAGCAGCTTAAAAATCTTCCATCTACAGGCAAAAATTAAAGCAATGACATGACAAACACCAGCTACTCTTTATAATGAATACCCACTAAATGTTCTCAGACCTTACATAAATTCCTGCTGTAACTGAACTAGCTTGAAAGCCACTTGACACACCTTCACCACGCACAACAAAGCACAGGACTTGGAGGACAGGCTGTCCAAAGGATGTGAAAATTGTCACATCAGCCAGCCTGACATCCTCAGCAGCTCAGCTAGCCCTCGCAAAAAGAAGAGCAGGTCACATTGCATTTGTCCTTCTTTGCTAGATGGGCTATTTAAAAAAATAAATACGCATGATAGCCAAGACAGACAAGTGCTATCTCAAATACTGTCACTAAAAGGAGGTGTTACCTCCAGTGGTCCAGAAGATGATGTAGATGTGCCTGACAGCATCAGAGGATCACAGCACCATCCCCAACTATAAGGGAACTGCACTTACTGTCACTTCCAGTTGGCACTTAGCCAGTCATTAGGCAAAACAGCCCGCAGTATTTGCTGTGTAATTACACTGCCATGGCAGTATGCACTCAGCCATTACAAGGTAATTTCACTGTAGTTACCATTATGCTACAGGCTTCAGTGTATGGATCATAGCCCCAGGGATGCCACTTGCCAGACCAAGCACCACTGTGATATTGCGGAGTTGGCTGCCCAATTAACTCCATCCCTAAGAAAATTAACATACACACACAAAGGAGAAGAAGAAGCAGGAAGCAAAATATCAATAGTGGGGATGAAATTACAAGCAAGAAAACTGCAGTCTGGTCTTTGTGTTCAGGGAATTCTGCATACGTGGATTCCCTCTTCAGTTAGAAAATCTCCACATCACAGAGCCTATCCAGTACAATGGTACTGATCCTGGGCAGCTGCCTCACAGTGGACATTTGATGGGATGTCTGTGTTGAGGAAACTGTATTCTCAAAGAAAGTGCAAGAAGCCCATTGATAGAGCATCGAGTGATCCAAACAGTTGTTGCTGACTCCAGGTATATTTCCTATGCCGTCCACAACTGGATAATAGCAATGTTTCTGAGTGCAGGTACCTATGTGTGCCAACACCAGCCTAAAAATGGTTTAAGAAAAAAAGCTTCATCTCCTCTTTGTTTGGTCTGTTCCAAATGTAAGCTTTTTGGAGAAGGAACTGACTGAGGCTTGGAGTGCATTTGAACAGCATCCAGCATCAGCTTTGGCCTACTGTGGCAAAAAAATGCAAAAAAGAATCTTGGCACTTTCAATTTGAGATTTAGCACCAAGAAAGCTTTTCCGTGACACTGGGGATGAAAGCTTTCTGACCACATAGTACTGGCTGTCTGCTGGGTTGGGAGATTTTTATACTGTTTCTAGCAAGACTGGTCTTCATGAGTGAGAAAGTCATTTACTCAGTCTTTACTCTGCTATCACCCACACCACGAAGATCGACTGATGCTTCTCTTACAATGTATCACTTCCTATAAAAGCAGAAAGTGATTTTTGGTTATGGACTTCGCCTGAACTGCAACAAGGTGCAAAACGACTTCTTTCTGAGTTCAGATCCAACTTTAGTGATAAGTGAGAGGCATTCACTGCCACAACACTGCCATGGAAACTGATGCTTTGCAGTGTGATTCTAACCTAAGCTTTCTTCTCCTTTCAAAAGCCTTTTCACACATGTTGAATAGCAATAGCATGAGAGTGAGAACATATGAATGCCAGCTCTTTATCATCTGTGCTGGCTCCTCCAGCAGTTATCCATTCTCTTTCTGGTTAGAATGGTCACCTGCCTACATCAACCTTCACTAACCCAACATCAGGCAATAACTTCTTTTCTGCTTCTCTTTAGGATGACAAGTAGAAATATGCCAAACTTTTCAAGGGGAGCAGTACTTAAGACTTGGAAAGAGGGCCTTCTCTCAATACATGACATTTTGTGAATGATGTCTCATGCTGATATACAACTGTTTAGCACAAAATGGCTTTCAAAAGCATCTAAACATGATCCTGCCACTGTCTACTTCTGCACTTTCCAAATGGCTTTGGGAGACCTCAGAAGTGTCAGGAACAGCAAGAGATGTTATTCTTGTCTCTGCTAAATCCAGGGTGCCACCTGCAATAATCTTTAAGTAGAGAACATTTACAATCCCAGACATGAGTGATGTGGCACCTATTAGACAGAAGAGTTGTCATTTGCCAACTGCTAGGGTTTTCTTAACTAGAAATAGATACTGCAGAGAAGAACACAGTTCCAGCAAAAAGAAGAGTTCTGGCATCAACCTTTATTGTTTCCTTTAAATAAATTGCTAGCAGAGACCTTTAAAGTGAAAATCAATAATGATTCAAGTTCCCATCTCTTCTTGCCAGCTCAAAGCAAGTCGCACATCCACTGACGCTGACGTGTCTGTTATTATTAACTTATCTAAACAAAGCAAATAGTAATAGCTTCAAAAATGCATCCAGAACTTGTAATCAGTTGGTCTCCATACCCTTTTCAAACAGGACAGTATAATTATTTCCATTTTATGGGCAATTATCTGCCTTTTAATGGTGGAACAACTAAGGCACAGAAAAAGGAATTAACTTGCTCAGATGGCCAATGAAATACCAAGAAACAGAGCCAGATTTCCTGAATCTGCATCAAATGCCCTCCAGATAACACCCTTGCTAATATAATCAATTAGAAACATTACGTATCACCCATCTTCAAAGGCATTCGCAGTGAACAGGCATCATGAGCATTAAACCACACTGTGTATTCTTGGTATCCCATATCACCACCTGCTTTGATCATTTTTGCTCTGTCTCTCTAATTCATGTAATTAATAGTTCCCATTCTAAGAGGAGTGACATGATTGACTTACCTAACAATCACTTCAGAAAGAATATCATTGGCAGTAGGTCTGCAGTCTAAGCGTATGCTTGCCTCCAGTTGAGCCAGACCAAACACCAGTGCCTTGTGAAGCAATGCTAGCACAAAGACCAACATAAGATAGCTGCCTGGATGCTCGTTTTATGTTCGCATACCTCAAATGCATCACCACGTGGCATCTCTCACAGGCTTGTCTTCTTTCCACCAACCCATTGTACATATCTGCACCACGGCCAGACTCCAAACTCCTCATGACCTCCCACTCAACAGCAAAGAGCTCTGTGATGTTTCCTCTGAACTCCTCATGACATGGACCTACTACGGTTTGGTCGAACGCTCCTGGCCACATGAGGGAACGCTGCAAAAGAACAGTAAAATAAGTCTGATAATAAAAGATCACAGCTAAAATATAACCAGTCCTGCTTCAATTCCAGATCATCAAATGTGCAGATGGTGCCCTCATAGAGACCCATTAACATTAGTTTGCTTCACATCCTGCAGTTTGTAGTATCCAAGTCAAAATGATTCAGATAACTCATCTCCTACCCTCTATTTGGCTAAAAACATCTGTGTTCCAGTGTATCTTGTGCAGATGGTGAAAAGACAGCCATGGTATCCTCACTTAAAGTTCATCATAGGGTTCATCACAAGGCGAGACACCAGCTCTGAACAAGCAGCATCTTGGTCACTCAAAACAAAATATCTGCAGCCATCAAAGCGGTCTCAACGATCTTGGCTGTTTCAACAGACCCCAAAGTAGAAGCACAGGGAGCTTGATGAGTTATTACAATCATCTCCCTTTTGTTTACAGAACATTGTAATACATTTAATTGGGTTCCTTGTAGCACACGTTCCTTAACAGCTTTTCTAAAACTACCAGAAAGGGAATCAGCCTGATTCTGTAAGGAGAATTAGCATCCAGAGATGGAGCAAAAGACAGAGCTGGAGGGGGAATTTGGAGCAACTGGTAGAGTCACATCAGTTATGGGACAGTGTGAGAGCTGTGTGAAGGCTCCAGACCTCACATAATGCTCTTCAAGAAGCTTCAGAAGCTTTCGTACACATTCATTTTAAGACAAAGACCAGCTGTAGTTGGCCTGAAAAGCCCACAAAGCTTCAATGTGAGTGTTTTTTCGTGTCAGTGTAAAATGCAGAACAAGGAACATTTTCAACTGTTTCAGCCTCCCTAACACTCCTCCTGAACAGCTCTGATTTGATTGTATTGATCGTCTTTGCTCAGCAGAGATAAAGCTGCTTTCCACAGAGAAAGGTAGAGAGAAAGGATTTGAAAGAAAAGGCTGCAATTAATAAAGCCAGATATTTTTTCCACTAGAAAAAAACATTCAGTTTTGGAAGTTATTGTCAATACCTGTAGCCCCCAAAAGTACCTCTCTGATCCACTTTGCAAGATTTGATTCAAAGCCAGTAAGTAATGACTTTCTCACATAATCATAATACTTGGGTTTACATTCATGTTATTTGACTCACACAGGCAGTGTGTTATCTGGCTGAGATCTGTTTTGGGGGGCATGCAGCAAACCTGAAGTGGTAAGATCCAAACCTCGGCACTGGGAACCTGCCTATTGGAATGCTGCTGCTTCCAGCACAGCGCAGGCTATGTCAAGGCAACAGAGAGCCATTAATTGCATAGTAGCAATCCCAAGGGTTTAGCTTCATTCCTCTATACATCACATGTTCATAACTGTTAAATTCAGGGATAATTACTGCCCCTCTCCCTTTGTCCTTTGGGTGCAATAGCTCATGGACAGCCATTGATGACTGCTTACAAACATCTCTGCTGAGAAGTACGGCTCTCCTGAGGTGCTGTTTCGGAACAGCAGTCTTGAAGACAGAACGGAAGCCCACGTTCATGACATGCCAGAGATTAGTGGCGTTTAATGCTATTTTTTCCCCCCCAAAAGCATCTCCCTGCCTATCCTTCAGATCAGTATAGAAAGTAAGTACATAGCCTTGCAAGGTGCCAAGCTACTTCTGTCTCAGTGAAAGCAGCAGGAGTTTAAAGGGCTCTGAAGCGAGCCCTTGCAGTACACATCTGACACAATAAATGGCAGTGATCAGCCAAGCACCCCCCTAACAACACCCTTACATTTCCGTGCATCAAAGAACAGGTCACCAAGCACCACAGCTTGTCACCGCAAGCTAATTTCAGTTCCCTTTAAGCACTAGGGAATAAACCACCCCCAGTATAACAAATTATACAGCAACATACAATAGGAATTTGCTGCAGCTTCAGCCCTCAGTGCCTAGAACGGCTTCAAGTGTAAACAAACAAGAACTGTAATTTGCACCAACTGTTTACTCTGATTTTAAGTCAGGGTTAGCTTTGCCAGCACAAATGATGCCTCCTCCCTTTGTCTTCAGAAAAGCGAGCCATAGACTAGAGGAATTAAGACTGACTTTTGTTTGGTTGGTTTTTACTTTTTTTTTTTTGTTGATTTTTTTCTTCTTTTTTTTTTTTTAGTATTAAATGAGCCATCTGATTAGATAAATCTCTTTGCATGAGTTTTTACTTCTCCATAAGGGACCAGGGATTTCACAGCATTAATTACATTGCTGGTCTTCTACCATTACCATTATATAGATTTAGCCCATATCCTCACCAGAAGTTAGGGGGACGAGATTCACATGCTAGTGAAAATCACAGTACAAATACCAGTGAGTGAGGTCAAGCTCATGGTGCTTCTTCTTGCTGTTATACTGAGTCATGAAGCTCTTGATGAGATTTGGGGTCATTAAAGCAGAGAGCTTATGATTTTCTCAGCCATATAAAAGCTCAGTATTCCAAATGAGATTCCAACTCCCAAACAACTCCGAGCATACATGGACTCGTGAATAGGGAAAACAAACTGTTACAGGCTTTGCTTACCCTGATAATGAAGAACTTCCTCACGGCGTGCTGCTTTGCACAAGACTTGAATAGTGATTGCATTTGGAAGTCACAGGTGAGGACATGGGATTCCCAATTGAGAGAATCCAGAACTTTCTTATTATCATCTTCAGCGTGTTTCTCTTCCAATTGCCCCATCTGGAACTCTTGGTTGTTTTTACCATCTGACATTTTAACAGCCTAAAAACAAGCAAAACAACCCTTTTAAACAACCAAAATGTTTGATCAGATCTTTTATATAAATGAAATGCTAGTGTATGCCAGGCATCTGAACTTGGTAAAAAATAAATGAGTACTTCAAACCCACTATTGTTCTCAAGGTCTCTGACCTTCAAAACACCATTCTATTCTATTTGTAAACAACTCTGACATGATAGAACATGTGAATACCACTTCACCCTTTGGTAGCAGCATCTATTCCAAGACCTCAAAGTATTCTGTAAATATTAGCTAAGACTCATACGCCTCTAAAGAATTACTCTTCTACAAATATTAGCTAAATCTCACGCCACACTACTCAGCCCATAGGAGGTTAACGCTATTCTCCAAGTTCAGAAATATCCAATGTTCTGGTTAATGTTACTCAAGAGATTTGTAAAAGACTTCAGCAATGGAAATATGAGCTTCTAAGACTTACATATGTCTGTGCCTCCAGAAGCTAGTCCAGAGTATTAAGCAAGTCTGCATTTCTCTTTTGGCCACTCTAATATCAACAGACCCAAGTCCAAAACAACCCAGATCAAACTCATACAAGAGAAAACAACCAGGGAAACTAAAACAAAAAAGTAGTTCTGATTACTCACCTTCAAGTCTGATAGGCATTTGTGCAAATCAAAGGGAACCAACAGAAACGAGGCCTCAACTTGCATTTAGCAATGAACACAAAGTGGCACAGGGGTCACTGTGTGAAACACACCATTACAGTGAACAGTAATCAACGTTGAGATGAACTCACCCAGACTTCAGGCAAAGAACAGTTTAATGCAGCCACACCAGTTGCTAGCCAGTGAAGGACAAACTTTAAGGTAAGGCCATAACAACACTTACAGAGTAAACAGCCTAAACTTCCTGGGATGACTCTGGAAGCAATTTATTTCCAGGGCACTGAAAAAGTGCTTGGCTTCCAGTCCTGTCTCTCTTTTCTATCTTTTGTAAACAGCCATTTATTTAATGAAACTTTTCAACACCTCTTGCCAAAGGACATCACTTCAAGCTCTGTCCAGAACAACATTTTATGTTTACTTTCATTCCCTTTGTGCTGTGTTTCTAACAGAGGGTAGGTACACCTTCCCTACACCTTGCTCTAGGTCACCCAGACTTCCCACCTGTCTGCTTCTGGGTTACCACAAGAAATTCTTAAGCATTACAAAGCTGAAAGCTCAAAGCCTGAACACTGCAGAATGGAAATACAAAATAAATTATCCAAATATGCTTTACTCGCCAGCAAACAGCAGCTTACTTCCATGAAAAAAAATAGTTAAAAAAAGTATCTACCTTAAGGAGTGATACTACTCTATATTAGCATAAAATTGCACCCAGTTTAAGATAATATATGTGATGCCCAGTTTATCATTATAGATAAGGTGTCAGTTGTTCTGGGTTTGTTTTATCCAGAATTTTCTCTTGTATTTTATGCAACCTGCATTTAAGCAACGACAGCATACAGCGTGAGATTAAAGTTCTTCAGGTGCTTATTGTTGGATAGAAGAGGCTGGTCCAACATGGGTGGTTCTTGGCCTTTCCACAACATACTGTTGACTCCAGGAGTGCACTGTGACAATTACACAAGACTGATAATGAGCATTTCAAGAGCCTTACGACTGCAAGAGCAAGAATAAAAGGTTGATGGACAACTTTGTGACAGCATACAGGTAGTGTCTGGTTCTTCCAGGAGGGAAAACTAATCTTTACTAATGTACATTTGAAGTTGCAGGTAAAACGGAGAACAATAAGCAAGGGCTGAGAACCTGAGGTAGCCAGCCAAATTCAGAAGGAAAACAAAACCTGCATCATGAACTTGAGGTGGAGGGGCTGGTTCAAAACAAGCAAAATGATGGACTGTTTCTCCCAGTACCTGCACCTCAAGACCAGGTGTCTTCCTGAATGTAAAGCAGAACCCACAGCTTTTGGTGCAAGGGTCACTTCCTGCTTTGGTGATCCGACTTATAAAGTTCATCAACGTATAGCAGTCAGTCCTAGCCTTTGATACAGTGGTTCAAAGTGAGCAAAACAAAACAAAACAAAACCAAACCTCTCAGAATAGAAGAGACCCGAAACTGATTTTCCTTACTCTGTGACTCAAATCACTAGCAGGAAAAGAGT